TCAGAACATGATGAACCGATCAGCGCTGGAGGATTTCTTGGTTCGGTTCAAACATCAGATTTAGATCTGAGAGCAGAAGTTTGATCTGCTGCTTCCCTCCTGGTCCAGACTCTCTCTGGATCAGCGGTTCTGGTCTGGATCAGTGATTCTGGAGACATTTTGAAGGAAGTTCTTATGAGTTGGGTTCGGTGCTTGACCTCTGACCCGTCCAGTTGAATGATGAGGTTGTGTTCGTTCAGAACGTAGAACTGACCCGGTTCTGGTTTGTTTGTTCCCCGGGGCGCTGGTATCAGCAGGAGTCGTTTGGACCCCGTTGGTTCTGGAGGATCCAGCAGAACAGAACCAGAAAACGGTTCTGAGACGAAGCAGCAAAAGTAACAGTTTGGAGGTTTTGATCCAAACTACTGAACCAGTACCTTTACTCCGATCCGGGTCAGGATCAAGGATCACATTTATAAATTTTTTAAATAAAATAAACCAACCGTGGATGATCAGGGCAGTAGGTGGCGCTGCCTCTCAGTCCGAATGATCAGAACCCTGAGTTGGGACTGTAGGTGGGTTCTGGTTCTGGATGATTCAATCACTGATGAACTCCCTCTGAAGTCAGTCTGCCTTAATGTGACTGATCTGATCAGAGCCTGGCTCTCGTTGAAGTGGTTCAGAACCAGAACCAGAACCTGTCTTCCAGGTATTTTCAGACCCAGCTTTGGACTGTTAGAAGTTCTGTTGGTTCTCTAAAGATTCTGGGGATTGCTTCAGTGACCCAATCATCAAAGTAACGTCAGCCGACCCGGATGTTTCCTGTCAGTCCAATCTTCAGGGTCAGGAACCCGATTCTGCTGCGATGAAGCGTGTTCAAGGAGCCGTCGCGTCTCCGTGCTGCTGGCTCGACCAGCGATGCGCCCTGGAGGCCCCGCGGTTCTGGATGCAGAGCCGATTCTGCTGGTCCAGTCTGGCCGAGGCTGGAGGCGGCCTGCCGGACTTCCAGGTAGCCAGTGACGATGATGGCTCAGGATCCAAGATCTTACCACTGATGAAGGTAAAGATGAGGAGCCAACTGGGCATTGCAGAAACAGGCTGGGATGGAGACTCCGGTCCATGAGCCTTGGAGGTGGACATGTCCAGATCTGACTGTCCAGAGACCGGATTCTCCTGAAGCTCCGACTGCAACAGCGCCATCTGCCACTTCCTGCCTTAGTGCTGCTGGAGGAAGTCTTTAACCTGGATAGAGAGAAACACCTGGCAGCAGGCGGCTCGGTTCTGGACTCCTGGGGATGGACGACCACAGTGTCTGCCCAACGTGACCAGCAGAACCAGTGTTGGCGACCTGTCTGGACTTGAAGGGTCCGTGTCCACAGGTGGGTCGGGTTCCTCTCCTGGTCAGACCGTTCCCCATGTAGAGTGATGGAACCATCCTACACCCGCTCCAGCTTTCAGGAAGTCAACATGAGCCGGTTCATTGGACCCCTTCTGGCAGCCAGAAGTAACTGCGCCCCTCCAGGGCCATGGCCTCAACCAGGGGTGGGGGTGATGTCATTGACACTATCCTGAGTTGGAGGGATTCCTGCAGGTTCTGGTTCATTTACCCCCCCACCATTTCTTCTATGTTCCGTTTACTCGGTCCAGTTCATATCCTGTTTAAGAACCAAAATACTGAGGAAGCATGAGCAGCTGATGGTTTCTCGGGTCAAAGGTCATTTTGACTAAAAAGCAGCAGCTCTTTAGCTTTTTCTAAACCTCATTCTGAACTATTGCCATGAAGATTATCAGGATGATGTTCTGGTTTCACAGAGAAGGTGATCCTGAACCATGCTGGTACCGGTTCCACGCTGAGTGGAACTGGTTCCGGTATCTTCTGGATGCTGTTCCCATGTGTGACCTCACAGCTGCAGTGTGTTTCACTGATCAGTGCTGACACTGTGTGAACTGATAAGTGTGTGTGTGATCAGCAGCTTCTCTATCAGCTGACCTTTAACCCCACACTCTCTCCCTGTTTGTGTTTAAATCAGAGCGGGTGGCGGCCGGCCAGCAGTCCTGCACGGCGGCGGCTGCAGACATGTCCGTGTTCACACAGCTGGGCCTGCTGCTGTGGAAGAACTTCACCTACAGACGCCGACAGACGGTCAGGACGCCTCACTTCCTGCTCTGATCGCTCACTTCCTGCTCTGATCGCTCACTTCCTGCTCTGGTCCGTCGGATTAAAGATTGCTTCCTTGATCTTCCACCTGGCATTGAGCTGCTCTCTGATTGGCTGGTTGGGTGTTCCTTCTTTCCATGTGGTTCTGATCCATTCATTAAATGTGTGTGTGTGTGTGTGTTTCAGCTCCAGCTGCTGGTGGAGCTCATCTGGCCGCTCTTCATCTTCTTCATCCTCATCGCTGTGCGGCTCAACTACCCCCCCTACGAGCAGCACGAGTGTGAGTCCAGAACCAGAACCAGAACCAGAGCCGTTCTCTTCACTCGCCCTGATAGGCTGCTGACAATCTGAAACCCGAGCCTTCAGTGGCTAGTTCTGTTGAACTGATCCGGTCCATTTCAGATGAACTGGATGGGTTCTGCTGAAGTCGGTTCTGTTGGTTCTGTTTCTCTGAGCAGAACATTATGACCCATAATGTTCCTTGTCTCTCCGGAACCACAAAGGTCCGGTTGATTCTTCCTCTGTGGCAGGAAGTTGGCGTCCACCAATCAGGACGCCACGGCCAACCCGGATCTCCGGTTCTCCTGGAGGTCCAACTTGACGGTTCTGGACAGATCCGAATTCCTCTGTGTTCTGCTGCTGGATTCTTCCAGTTTCCGGATCAGAACCGGTTCCGAATTCTGCTAGACTTGGAACCAGTACCTGTTGCTAGGCAACATGTTTACAGACAATAACCGTATCAGAACCGATCTACGGCTGACCGGTTGGAGTGTCGCTGAACAGAACTGCGGTGGTGCATTTAGGTTCTTCTGGGCCAGAACCTGCAGAACCAGAGTTGACCCGGTTATGTTGGATAACAGAACCATTGAGCTCAGCAGGGACAACCCGGTCTGAGCGGGTCAGTTGGTTCTGCCCCATCAGCCTCAAGCAGGGATAGAACCCGACCAGAACCAGACTTCGGCTCCATCCGACAGGAAGCGGGTCAGAGAACCGAACCAGAACCAGGTGTGGTGGGGTTATGTAGGTTCTGCTTCACCCTAAAGAACCCGGCTGGAGAGCGGGTCCAATCAGAACCGAATCTTTCCTCTGACCCAGATTACGGTCTAGTTAGATCAGCTGGGTTTGGTACCAGAGCCAGATGTGACCCGGTTCTGATGTTCCATCAGGTCTGAACGGTTTGGTTCTGAGGAACCCAGTGGTTGAATCTGGAGAACAGAACCGGGTCTGCTCTGGAGAAGAAGAATCAGAACCAGAGCAGCAGCTCCTCAGGGTTTCTTACTGATTATTGATCGGGTCGGGCCGGGCCGACCTGTGGACCTCAGAGGAGCTGCAGCTCTTATCTTATCAGCCGTGATTAGAAAACAGGCCAGTTGGCAGTCTGAAAGGTTCCTGATACCGGCCCGGCTCGGCCCGAAGGTCCGATGCTGCTCTGCAGGTGATAACGGGTCCAGGTGAGCACCAGATAAGAGACACGGAGGAGACGACCCGCAACTGGGCCACAACACCAGAACCAGCAGAACCACATGGAGCTGGGGGTCCAGATCCTAGAGGAAGCAAGATGAGGAGCTGGTTCTGGTTCTGCTACATTAGGGTACGGCCCACCTGGTGGAGGAGGGTTCTGTTCTGACGTGTTCTTGATCTGCTTTTATCTGCTGGGTCTGATGGAACCGACCCAACAGAACCAGTAATGAAGAGACTGACTGAGTCGATTCTGTCTCAGAACAACGTCCAGACCATTCTGGGTCAGAACCAGTCTCACTTACTGATTGGGTCCAGACAGAACCAGAACCACGCATAAAGCCCGTGGAACCTTCAGGACTCAGTGGTTCTGTTTGGGTCACAGAAACCATCAAACTGTTGATGTTTTCCCCACTTCCTGTCTGCAGGTCACTTCCCCAACAAGGCCATGCCGTCGGCAGGAACGTTGCCGTGGATTCAGGGGATCCTCTGCAACGCCAACAACCCGTGCTTCAGGAACCCGACGCCGGGCGAGTCGCCGGGCGTCGTCGGAAACTTCAACGACTCCATGTGAGTCCCAGCCTTTTATTCTGAAAAACTGCTTCCTGTTCATGAATTGCTTAATCAAAATGCTAATCTGAACAGATTCATTCACAGAGGTGATATCAGTCTGGTTCTGGTTCTGGTGTGCGCTGACCCAGTTATAGAAATGGGTTTTTGTTCTCCTGTCCTGAACCAGAACTTCCTGTTCAACATTCATTCCAGGTTTCCTTTTATTAAAGGACCAGATCAGCAGTTCTTTAAACTGAACGGCAATCAATTTTTTTCTCTATATTTTTTGTACTCTGAATGCATTTTTCTATTAAGTGCATTATCAGAAAAGAGCAGAAAAAATTTTAGCCCATTATCTCTAACGGTTTCCGAGATTTTGGGGGGTAGGTGTACCTTGCCACAAACCCACCTTTGAGTAGAAAAAGATGGGGTTTTTGAAAGCCGATTACTTAAAAAGTAAATTTGACACTTATTTTGTAATGACATCCTTTAAATATAAATCATATCGAAAAACATGAATATGTACAGTATAAATAGTTTACTTTTAAAATATGTAATTTTTAAAAATAAAACAAATTTCAATATTTACCCTGACGGCAGAGATGGCATGTTTGGGATACTATATTAAAAAATATAAGTTGAAACCAAGCCCCAAAAACCATTTTGCCCGTCCTGCTATGTGGTCTTAACAGGCTCATTTTTTGTAGGGGTCTGGGTTCAATAAAGATTTATTAGGCCGCAAAACTGCTTCCAAAGCTAATTTGACCGACGGAAAAATTTTTAAAAATTGACAAAATTAAGTATTTTTTGACCACTCCCCAAACTTGTATTTTTCATCAGATTTCAATAAAACTTCTCTACTACAGATAAATTAAGCTGCAGCGTCATATAAAAACATTTATTTATGACTATCTTTAGTAGTTTTTTCTATATTGTTGGCAGAAAATAGACTTTTTTTTTTTTAGATTTCTTTCTTTATGGAAAATTCCCTACTATCGACCATCTGAAAAAGTGCCAAAGAAAGTACAGTTTTTCATAAAAAGTGTCTAGAATATATCATTTTAGTATAGATACAGTCACTTCATCATGCCGCCACCCACATAATGATGCCCTGGGCGGTTGCCCATGCCTCCCATATCAGAAACCGTCTGCTAACGCACTTCATGTCCTTGTTGCACAAATCACACAAAATCAGCACAAACCTAAACCATATAAATACAGATCATCATGCATAATTCCCGTGGCCCATAAAAACAGCGGATCTAATTCCGCTTTTTTATTATTATTAAATAATAAGGACAGGGAAGCAAAGCATTCCTGTGGAGGAGGAGGAGGATGAATAACCCCACGTTCAGGTGACGAGGTGAAGGGACCATATTTACCTAATTTCTCCTCTTTTGTAAAAGTTTAAACTAGATTTAACTTTAGATTTAACTCCTCCCGCAGGCTTTGTGCGGGGCTCCGGCATAGCGCGGTAGATGTGATGATCAGCCAGCCGGGCGGTCCGTCCAAAAATCACAAAACATCTGTTAAACCAGAGTCCCCGGTAGAACCGTGCACAGGGTAAAAAGCTCAGGAGGGGGTCACTCCACCGCTCTTAGAACTACCGGAAACTTAAACTCCGGTTATTCGTTTTTAGGTAGCGTAGCCACATTTAGCTTACAGAAAGAGCGAAAGCTGGAAGGGGCGCCTCGGGGGAGGTCCGTTCGTGTGTTGATATGCGTGGGGCGTCACGCACATTGATTCTGCAAGTGTGGTTCCAGTATTATATTAAAGCTAACAAGTTAACCTTTATTTTGATACCCATTTTGTCGGGTTTATTTTTTATAATTCGTTCGCTATTTGACGAAGTTTTGATACTTTTATGATTGACAAAAAAAGTAAAAAAAAACAAACAAAAAAAAACCCTTGACAAACCGGGTATAGTGGGTACCGGGTAAAGTTTAAGGATTAATATGATATCACTGTTGGCTCATTTGGTCTTGTGTTCGTGACGCCCGGACCGATTTTCTTGGACAAGGTTTCAGCGCCTTTCAGAAGGGGCGTTCGAATTAATGCGGCTTTTCAAAAAAATATTATGAAAATTACTGGGAAGTTTAAAGTGTTTTATTTACTTAAACAGACATAAAACTGGTATCATTGGAAAGGAAAATCAATGAGCTTTAACACAGCAGTGTTGCTTTTGGAAAAGAATTATTCTGAAAAGGACTTTTGATGGTGGGAAGTTGGGGCATTTTCTGTGATCAGCATGCCTTCTCTCCCATTCCTGCCGGTGCCTCTGAGCGGGTTTTGTTCCTTGGCTTCGGCTCCAGATCAGGGAGGTTTTGGAACCATCATCTGCGATCCAGAACCTTGTCTTGGTTCTGATGTGAACTCTATTCTTCTGTTTTCCAGAATTTCCCGCCTGTTTTCAGATGCCAAGAAGATTTTGCTTTACAGCCAGAACGACCGAAACCTGGAGGGCTTCAAGGAGCTGGCCCGGGCCCTGGAGGTTCTGCAGAGCAGCCGCTCAGGTAGCAACCGGGGGTCCGCAGGTCCGGTTCTGAGGTTCTGTTGCAGCTTTTTGCAGATGTTTTCAGGCTCATTGAACAAGAAGAATCTGAATCTTTTGTCCTGTATTCAGTGGCTCAGTATGAGTGTAGAGAGGGAGGAGGGAGGGGGGTAGTTCCTCCTCTACTTGCCCCGACCTGCCCCCCCTCTACCCCCCTTTCAGATCTTTTATTCCTCTGATCTGAGGAGCCGCAGCATCTGATTGGTGGGTTGCTGCTGGGCCGATGAGGGGGCGGGACAACGTGTCCCCACAGGTTTACCTGCTGATCAGCCAGGTGAGCTCACCTGGTCAGAGGGCAGCTCAGAGCCAAGCAGAACCAGAACCACAGGGGTTGGGGTTATGATGGACTGGATCAGAGCCAGCACCAGGCCCAGTGGACCGGAGCGGATCGCTGGCTCTGCTGGAGCTCATTTAGCCAATCACATCACTGGAAGCTGCTGATGTGAGACAGCTGTCCCCTGAGTCTGTCCCCTGACTTGTCACTAAGTTTAAGATGGCCGCCGTGGTTGTTGGGAAATATTTATTTAAATTTGCTGACGTGTATCCCAGATGACAATTATTGTGTGTCAAATCATGTATAATAGACTGATAATGGTGTGATTTTTCAAGATGGCCACCATGGTTGTAATTGAGAATATATGTTTACTCTAAAATCAGCTGAAGTTATCACCAGTGGTGGGTAGAGCTAGTTAAAAAGTTAGCTTCCCTTTCATGCATAGTGGTCACTACAGTGGACAGCTGTCTAAAAGCCATTTTCTTGAGCTTCTTGTGGATTTTTATGTTATAATTGCACACAGACCACTGAAGTGGACACTAATACATCATAAAATACACTATCAACTACTGGCCATCAGCTGCAAATGCAATAAATTACTTTTGTTAAATTCAATATGGCCGACAGACAAAGAAGCATGCCAACCAACTCTGTTCCTCTTTCTACTGTAGACGACGGGTTAAAAAAATATTGTGACATCAGATAACCCCCAAAGAACAATGCTACTGATGTATTTTTCAAATAACTTTTTATTTGGAGAAAATTACAATTACAATAACCCCTAACCCTAATAATATTTTTTTTAATTTAATTAAAAATTTTCCTACCTTTTTTTATGCCTTAAGAAAATAAAAAACAATTTGGAAAAAATCCTGACAAAGGATTAGGGCTGTTGTAAACGAATATTTTAGTAATCGAGTAATCTGTTGATTATTCTTACGATTAATCGAGTAATCGGATAAAAAAAATAAAACATTGGTAAAACTTCATAACAGCAGAGTTACTGTCGCACATCAACATCAGTCCAGTTTTTCACATTTGAGCTTCCCTAACGGTTACTTTTCTGTAGCTTAGAAAATTAACCTGCAACAATAACAGCTCGCTTTCTAAGTTAACCTGAAGAAAAGTTACACAAAAATCTGAAATTATATTCAGTGTAATAATAAAGAGGCAGGCTCACAAATACGCTAATAAAAAATGTCTATACTCCAGCTTTTAGTTTATGATTCATCTTCAGTCTATGTAATAGGTGAACTCTCACCTGGCCCAGATATTTATAGCTTTGTGTTCATGTTAGCGACGGGATTTGACACCTTCGTTCGTCACACACAGAAACTCATCTACCAGCCATGTACGATGATCTCCGCCTCCCGTTTGTTGAGACCTGGATGATATAAAATAAATTTTCCGGTTCGTCCGTAAAGCTACACTTACGTTAATCATCTAATGCGCAGCCGCCCGCCGTGTTCAGTCTTTCCGCTCACCTGTATTAATCCTCCTCAGCGTCTTCCCGCCGTTCGCTGAACCGGCAGCTCCGGAGGAGAAAAGCTGCCGAACTCCAGGCATCGCTCCGGTCATTTTAAGGAGCTTATTGGTCCCCTGAAAAACGACAAAAACACGGACATTTTCATGAATCAATAAAATCCTCCCTGGCCGAACTTGAGTTGCGTGGGGGGGGGGGCGCAGAAAATGTTTGGAAACCACTGGCATAAGCTAACGCTAACCATTAAGTCTGCCTCAGTCCCTCTCTCTTCT